TTTTTTTTTTACAAAACCTCAAAAAACAAATTAAAAACCTTCCATATACGTCTGAACCTTGACTTTCCCAAACTACGTTACACCTTTAAACCGGTTATTGTCCCATGCCTATCATTGACTTTATTTTATGAATCACCAAGTACTACCTTTTTACCTAAAATTCTTCTTTAATGCTGAAGAGAAAAAGTCACCATCTTGAATGAGTTCTGAAGGTAAATAAACTATCAGCAGAATTGTGTTTTAGGGCGAACAGCCACTTAAAGAATGCTTTATAAAGTCCACTTAAGTTACTGATTGCCATGACCTACTTCTACAAATAGTTGTTCAGCAATTTAAACTTGAAATTCCTGTGCGGACAATAAATTTGAAATTGCTCATGAACTAAAAGCCAGCCAGTTCCTAAACTCTGAGTGTTGCCCAACCCTTTTTGCAACGAGGGTGAGTAAAAAATGACTTTTTTTGCCGAAATGATGCTTTTTTTTGTTTTTCAATGCTCTTCTCAGGTGCTGGTTTGGCACACCCGGACTGAGAAGCCAAAGATGAAGAGAGAAGAAGCTTTGCTGAAGCAGGGGATGGGCTCTGATCCGGATGTGGAGGTGTGAGCAGAACATGCCCGAACTTCACCAAACATCCACACTTCCATTGTGCCAAACACATTCTCTTATTTATCTGGCAAGAGCTGAAGCTTGTAATGTAATGCAGACACTATAAATGTGAACTCTGGCCTACAAACCAAAGACATGAGGAATGAGGAAAGAAAATGATGAATGCATAGATAAGAAAAGCAGGAGATGCACACAGAACAACCCGTGACTTAAATGCAAATGGCTTGCTAGAAATCATTTTACATTTCAGAATCCATGCTTATCATCTGAATAGTATTTAAAGAATTTTACAGGCACGCAAGTTGAGCTTGTGTCGATGTTTTTAGAAATGTATAAAAGTTTGCCGGGATTATATTTATTACTCATTGTTATGTCTATGCTCTCCATGTCTCTATTACATTAGGTGTTCTTGTCCTATGTATTAAGTCTTAAAGGGATAGTTCACCCAAACATACCAATTTCCTGACAATTTACAAGTGATTCCAATCTTTTATGCATTTCTTTTTTCTGTAGAACACAAAACAAGATATTTATAGGAATGTCCACAGTAGGAAATAAAAGTATTATGGAAGTCGATGACTGCTGCTCATCGACATTCTTCAGTATATCTTCCTTTAATAAGAGAGTAATTAAATGATGACAGACTTCTCATTTTTGAGTGAACTGTCTCTTAAGGATAATTCTTCGCTGATACGCGGAGGATATAAATAGATCAGAAATTGTTCCTATTTATGCCATTAATCTATGAATCATGACAGTGTGCTTTATCTTTAGTACAGTGCCATGTGTTGCGTGGCACTGGTAAAGAGTGTAAAGTACGTATGTTGTCACTTGACCCTGGAAAAAGACAGAGCATGAAAACATTTACAGAATGTGAGGACATTTTGAGCTTATTTTTTTGCACATCATGATACTGGTGGAGATGTAAAAATGTAGATAGCAGAAAAATGTAGCAGATAATTGTTTTCAGCACAGGTCATCGGATACCTTATGTCGAAAATGTGCTGCTTTATTGATTTAAAAATGTACAGAATTGCAATGTATGTATAGATGTCAGGATTGTGCAGAATCTTTAAAGGTGCCATAAAGTGTATTGACTCAATATGTAAAATGTTCTCAGATATATATGCATAGTAGGTTTGTGGCTTAGGTCATTTCAAAAATTCTCCATAAATAGTTTTATATGCTTATTTATGATCAGAGGAGTTACCCCTAAAATGAAAACCTTGGTTTTGACCATATTTGGAATGGTTGTAAATATTAATGAGCTCTGCTCTGCTCTGACTCTCCCTAGCCTGCGCCAGTGCCTACCCTCACACAAACAGAGCATGATGTGCTCTGAAATAAACACGTCCAAAATACTTTAAACTTAACAAAAACAAAAAGAAAACTAGATGCCTATCTGGAGTAGATGCCTTGTCAAATGACAATCTTTTCAACTGAATTGAAGTAAGTTCACATTGGGAGAAAGCTATCTGTAATCAACCAAGTCTGCTCTTCCATTACTGCTCCTGAGTTATGGATTGTGAATAAAATATAGTCTAAATTATAATTATAAATGTTTGTTGCCTCATAATAAACATACTCAGCGAATGTCACAATATGCACATTAAAATAACAAAAGATAGATTTAAACAAACCTTATTTCTCTACAGGGTGGTGCTGAATACACATCTGATCTTTATATGTAGCATTTTGTGTTTTCATGAGCTGTAAACTGATAGTACGTATGACTGTCTGTTTCACAGAAAGCTCATTTACTCTTCCTGCATTTCCCATGTTCAAAATAAGAGTCACGCATAGTATACATGCATAGTAATCTCACTAGCAAATGTTGTGGCCAGTTAAATGCTGCCTGGGGTGGGCATATCACATTGTGTTTTGTTCTTTTTGCCTAGTTTTTAACCCAGATTTTGCACTGGATTTTCATGAGAACGACGGAACAATGGTGTTTGAGGCTCATGGTATGTCTTTACAGTGTACTGAACTCTCATCATTCAGCTATGCCTCGTTATATCCAGATTATCATTCTATGGCAGAAAAAGTGAAAGTGCTTCTTCTGTTTATGAGCTGGTCACCTCTTCACAGGACATTAAATCGTCTGCATTTTTCTGTAGAAAATGTTTAATATTGAATGTATGTAAAAGATAAGAAAAATATACTGCGATGAAGAGATGTTGTGCGTTCACTTTTGCTGCTTTTCGGGTTCTTATAAATGTCTGTAAAATAAATGGATTATGTCCTGGCAGAAGTATATTTTCCACTTGATGTATTTAATTAAATTCTTTGCAGTGACCTATTGTGAGCTAACCAAAGTTGTCAATCGATGGCAAATACTTAAGGTTGAGCCACATAGTTTATCCTAACAAATTTTTAAATAAAACACATTTAACATGAATTCCTAGTCAAAACCATATTAACCATGCAAAAGGAAGTCTCTGCTACATCTCCTCTCCCATCAACCACCAAGAATGAAATAATAAAATAGAATTAGTATCCCTAAGCTGTCAAACTATATATATATATATATATATATATATATATATATATATATATATATATATATATATATATATATATATATATATATATATATATATATATATATATATATATATATATATATATATATATATATATATATATATATATATGTATATATGTGTATATGTATATATATGTATATATGTGTATATGTATATATATGTATATATGTATGTGTGTATATATATATATATATATATATATATATATATATATATATATATATATATATGTATATATATATATATATATATATATATATGTATATATATGTATATATGTATATATGTATATATATGTATATATGTATGTGTGTGTATATATATGTATATATGTATGTGTATATATATATATATATATATATGTATATATATGTATGTGTATATATATATATATATATATGTATACATATACATATATATATGTATATATGTGTATATATATGTATATGTATATATATATATATATATATATATATATATATATATATATATATATATATATATATATATATATGGCCACTTCAATAAATCCATCTTGCCAGTACTAGTTTAGACTCCATTTTGTCTTCGGAACTACCTTAATTAATGGTATAAATTTAAGGAGCTGTAAGAATTCCCCCGAGATTGTTGTCTATACTGTCGTGACCATATCTCACAGTTGCTGCAGATTTTTCAGCTGCACATCCATGATGTGAATCTTCTGTTCCGGCACATCCCAAAGGTACTTACTGGATGGTGACTGTGGAGGTCATTTCAGTTTATTGAACTTGCTGTCATGATCGAGAAACCAGGTTAAGATGATTTGATCTTTGTGACATGGTGCAATATCCTTGTAGGCATGACAAGTTGGATTCACAATGATCATTAAAGGATGGACATGGTCTGCAGCAGTACTCAGATAGGTTGTGGTGGCAAATGTGGCAAGAATATGCCCCTGGCATCACCAACACCAGCTTAAATGGTTGATCCAAGGCTGTATAAAACTTTTTTTCATTGTGAAATTCTGACCCCGCAGTCCAAAGTTTGCAGAAATCAAGACTGATTAGACAAGGCAAGCTTTTCCAATCCTATTTTGTTAAGCCAATTGTGGGCACTGTTGCTTTTCTGCTGCTGTAGCACATCTGCTTCAAAGTTTCAGAGAACTTCTTTTGCAGACTTAAGCTGTAATGAGTGGTTACGGTTTACAGTTCAGTTGCTGTTGCTCTACTATCATTCCGCTCTAACATAAGCAAGTATTGTTTACCCATATAAGTTCCACTTGCTGGATATTTCCTCTTATTTGGACCATTGTTTTTAATCTATATAAAAGAAAATATTTCTTCCGAAATTGCAATGTTTGGTTTAGTTTTTGGATTATTAGAAATTGTATATTTGTATTAACTAGCAGCTGACATATAGCCAATAAAGTGGCCGGTGATTTTCTGTGTATGTACTGTATATTTCTCCATTTTAAGTGTGAAAGTCCATACACAGTTCTTCATAAAATTGAACTACTAATCTTCATTAAATCCGTCACATACGCTTTTGGCTTTTTTTGTCTTTGACCTTTTTCACATTTATTTTTAAGCCATTACAATTTTATGTTGACTTAAAATTTAACTTTCATCCATTTAAGTACAACATTGAATTCTGCTTTCTGTTTGCCAACAGTTAAAAAAATTAAAGAATTCACAATTAATTTGACAATAGCACATGACCTTCATAACTTTAGCCCCTTAAAGCTTTGAAATGTGCTTTTTTTATTCCATGTTTGACGTAATCTCAACTGAAACATAAAGAGAGGGCGAAACAATTAGACAGAAATGACAAACTGTGAGCTTTGAAGGTTTAGGTCTTGTACCATGTTTGCTTATAGAGGTTCTTAAAATTGCTAATATTAACAATTAAAAAACGTAATTAGGAAACATAATTCAAAGTATCTAAATAAGATTTTTTTAGAAGCAAGTTTACAGTTTAGACCAAATCATTCAAGTGCCGTTAAAGAGAGAGTTCACCCAAAAAAATCCTAAATTTGTTCCTAACCTGCTTCCTTTTCCTGTTGAACACAAAGTAAAATGTTGGGGGAAAACAAGCCATTGAGTTCCATAGTATTTTTTGTTCCTCCTTTGGATGCCAAAGGCTGCTTTTCCCCCTTAACACTCTTGTTTTGTGTTCAACAGAATAAAGAAATTCATCAAGGTTTAGAACTACATTATTATGGGGAAATTTTCTTTTTTGTGTAAACTATCCCTTTAAACAGCACTTTGTACATTTCCAACATTAAAATAATGTTTCTGAAATTCAGTTGTACACTATCTTAAATATAGATGAATTATTTTATTGTGGCTACCAGATCTGCCTCCTCTCTCCTGAAATCACACTTGCAACTTTGGGTAAGCATCCTGGTACACACAGTCCTGCCCACCACCTGCCAGCAGAACCAGGGACAGATATAGAAATGCCTTTAAGCTGATCAGTGCAACCTGCTTTCATGTTACTTCCAGACAACTCGGAATTGGAATTTTTGAAAGTATTGTCAAGAGGTTTCTAGAACCGACATACAGCTTATGAACTCAGAGGCGAATGACGAACCCCGATTTCAGCGAGACACATTATGGGACATTATTTTTCATACGGTGACTAGTTCTGCTTCTGTAGGATTCGCACTGAGCTAGCTTATGTGAACCATAATTAAACTTTCAATTGTGTTTAAAGAATAAATTGAGTGGGAGTTCTACTAACAAAAGTTTTTTCTTACATGATAATGTTGTAATTTTTGTCAGCTTTATTTAAAGTAAAGTTAGCATTTTCTATTCATTTTCTGAGTGTCCGCGGGGTCCTAAAAA